ATGAGTTGCTCTTATGTTCCAGCTCCAAACTTTGAGTAGATCACGATTTCCGCCAGTGTGCAAAGGTTTTCATGTAGAGCTTCCTTTGCTCCTACGAATGGTACCTCTCACATATTTTTTGGCTGCCTTATTGCTTTACTGTGGAAACCGATGTTTTTTCTTTCCAGCCTAATAACATCACTAAACTCGTTGAAGTTAAAAATCTCTACCATCCTTTAAGTTGTTGGAATTTTGGGTGCGTTGGCAGGCTAGCTAGGCAATGAAAACTGAAGAAGTTTGCTATTTCTTAGTCGCTTTCAAAGCAGACATGATTGGGAGGTAACTACAGGGGAATTCACATCTCGTAGCCTACAATAAACCCGACGACTAACCGAATTTTTTTGAGCATTACGAACGGACAACCCACTTTCGCGTTCTTTCCTACACATATTTTTCTCCACGTGAAGAATTGCGAACAAAAGAAAAACTTTGAAAGCAGTTAAATTTACTTTATGTCCTGACAAAGTCCTCCGAAAAGTTTGCCTGTCCTGACAATACCACCGTGCGACTCTTCAACCTCTTCGTCCTCAAGTTCGTGATCCGGATAAGTAGCGTAGAGCATACCAACGGACCTGGTCTGCTAAAAATAAAAGAATCTCTTACTTGTTTTTGGAACAAATTTTTCACGAAACCTAAAAGATTATACTAGATCAAAAAAACAGCCGACTTCGCAGTTACCTTGTGTAATGGCATAATTCCAAGTTTGCGCATTGCAGATTCAATAGTGCTGGATCGCAGCCAGTCAACTCGATAAAGCCAACGCTATGAAAGTTACACGATTCCTTATTGGCAGGGTCTTATCGGGCATTGAACAATTTTGTTGGCGTTCTCTAGGTCCAATCTTCGCATTATCATCATCTTTGACGGCAGCTGTATTGAACTCTTCCTTTCATGTTGCGCTAACAACACCACTTATGAGAGTTCTGTTATGATTCGTCCCGCTGTTAAAGGCAGCGTCCAGGCAGATTTGGACATTTTCGATATTACCATGTTCGAGTACTGCGGCCTCGATCTAGAAGCATCGCGCAAATCCGACTTCAAACGCCCCCTGTAGAAGGAGAGGAAATCGGCGCAGAAAACGGTGAGCCTCAAAATACACGCCCACTCCCTCGCATGGCCCGCCCCGTTGAACGAACTCTTCTCAGCCCTTGACATGTTTTCACGTGCAAACACAGGAACACATGGTTCTACCTGTTAACCTGGTTTACAAAAATAGAAGATTTTAGGAAATAGAAAAATAGAAATAGGAAATTGGAAGCATTCGTCCACGCTTCTTACAAAATTGTCTCAAAAATGGGGTAAGTGCCATATTTGGAATCAGCGCCTTGAAAGGCGCTGAAAAAAATGGAAGTCGAGATTCTGCCTGGACGCTCTCTTTAAGTTGCGTTGTTTGAATAAAGTTTGACGACCCGGGTTCGAGGCTTTACTTGAGAGTCTGTGGTCTCGATATTCTTGTTGGTACAATCGCAGGAAAAACAAGCGAACCACCGAACAGCAACCGACGTTACCATACGTTTTATAGCCCAATTTTCAACACAAGTCAAGTCATAAGTCATCCTTCTCTACCTCTTCCTACCATTTTTGTGTTAGTTTTCCATCACTTTTTACTATTAACTGCACGATGCCGTTGATTGGTCGCCGCTGTGCTACTTGTCCGCAAGCTCGGACTTGCACGAATGAAAAGGGATGCTGGTTGAGAAAGACTGCATATCAATGGTATTAGCTTAAAGGCAGCATCCACTCAAATTGGTGACTTCTGGAATTTCACCTATTAACTAATCTATCGGC